TTAAGCCTTCGGCGTAGACCAACGGGAGACCTCGAGTCTCCGACTAGCAAACACTTTTTTTTCCTTATAGTTTTGATTTCGTTATATGAAACACTTTTTATGCACCCCCTTGACTCAATAGGCAAACCAGATCAAAGCATTTCCTCCTTTCTGCCTTAAATCTTACTTTAGGGAAAAAAATGCGCTCCGTACAAACAACGCTGCAGTATTGGTTCCTAAGGTCCAACCGTATACCTCGTATCGAAGTCTGCCTTGAACGATGTCTGTTACGCTTCAGATTTCAATAATAAGTAGACCTTCAAACTTCTGCAACTAGTAAACAAATACGCAAAAAAGTTATTTTGCTGCTGCGCCTAGGCACGTCATAGAGAAATTCCCATGTCATGTGTACTTGGGTACTATTGCAAGTCAAGTCAACAGTTCAGCTAATGAGTGGAAATCACCACAAGCTGACTCAGAGCAGTAGTCAAAAAAAAAGAGAAAAGAAACAGCAACGATAGAACAAGTGATTTTGCAGGTGCCTTTGCCCTCGTTGATGAATGTGCTGTTCACGCATGAACCGCGGCTATCGCTTGCTGGTCCTGTGTTCTTCTCCTCTTGCATCAAGCTGGTTGCGCTATGTTGGGGTTTGGTGAAGTTTACTAAACTCCGCTTCTTTTGGCCATGTCTTCCGCTCAACCCGAAGCATGATACGCGGTAATAATATTGTACATACTAGGAAAAGTGAAAATCACAACTTTGGGTAATATCTTAACCAGATATTTTTATTCAATTATTTGACAAACAGACAGACTTGATAAGACCTCTATGTTGTAATTCGAGTTATATAAGGATAAAGCAATAATGAAAAAACTAAACAAGGAGCTATATAATGGTAGAGAACTGTCTACTGCAGGCATAGGACGTAAATCTTACACAAGCAAATATTACAACTATCCTAACAATATATCTGTTATCATACAATTACCCTGAGAATATCTTTAAACTTGTGATTGAGCCGAGTATGGCTCTCACATCATATTTTTCTTCTGGGAAAAAAATAAGCTGTAGGAGTTATTTTATGAGAGCAATAAATATAAGTACTAGATAGGTAAACTTTGTTATCTCAGCTCTGATGGCGAAATATAAAAAATGTTTGCTATGCTAGCACAAATCTTCTCAATCTTATATAAAACATTGTGATTTTTTGAGACTTGTGGTACCACCAAAAGCTTGCTCATTTGTCAATTAATGCCCGTTCAAATGCATAAGTGCAATCTTTTACTTGTGTACTTTAAAATAGTCCAGGGAAGAAATTTTTTCCCCGAAATGGATTTGGCACCATGACATCAAACTTTTATATATTAGTCGCAAAATTACGTTTTTTGATTCTAATCAAAGCCGCATTCTTACAGAGCTCCACAATCCTTACTCAAATTTGAAAGCTCACCAGATTTTGTGCTCTAATAGAATTCTAATTATTTTGTCGAAGTTCCACGATACGACTGAGATGAATTCGAGTTCTACTACTATGACAAACTAGAAGGACTGCATCTTTGGTTTTTATGCATAGAAACCTGATCTTGTTCTTCCCTAAAAAAAGAGAAAAAGTGTAGAAAAGGGCCGAACGATGATATTGCTTTCAAATCACTAACACTTCAAGACATTTTTCAATGCAATCGTCCTCGGTTTGACAACAGAACGAAAAATGTTATCTTGTGTAAGCCTTGTGAAGCTCTAGCTCCACCTTTCTTCATATCCTTTGAATAACAATTGACTGTAATAGCAACAAACTCAATAATGTGAAAATGGTTTGGGTCTTTAAAAAATTACTAATTTTTTTCAAATAGGCTTAATGAGTTAACGGTCTCTGTACAGAATATCCACTTCGTAACAAATTCTAAAAATGCACATAGGAAAGCTGAAACTATTCTCTAGATAGCAAAATATTTAGAAATTTTTAGAATTGTGCGTTGCAAATCTTGAAAACAATAGTTCATGAACTTTGTGAAATATGTTGCTGTATGCATAACTTTTGAAAAAAAAAGTGTTAGTCAAAATTCCACTTTTGAAGACAAAAATTATGTTGCGAGGGAAATCAAGCCTGTACCCTCATCGATCAATTAAAACTTAGAGCACCATAATCTTTATTTCCTTTATCAAATCACACTTCGGTTTTTTCAGAGAAAGGATTTGAATTGTCGCCGTATGTTTTGCTTATGTTTAAATTTTTGTATCACCTTTTTTTCTTAGTACACCATGATATATTGTTGTTCCATAAATGCACAGAATTAGCCAATTTCACCGCGCGATCAATTTTTTTTCTTCAAGATTGAAAAGGCGTTTATTACTACTGTTTAGCATACTTCGACAAATTTCCAAAACAAAAACGTTATTGCTCAAAGAGAATATGCTTCTCGAATATTCGCATTTTTGTCGAGTCGTGCCAGTTCGTAATAATGTAAAAGCTTTGCAGAGAGAATGTTCGACGATGTTTTACGCTGAACCTCTATCGCTGCACAATGATCATCGTGAACATCTGCCATCTCTTGGCGATTTATATCGTCATAAGAAATATAATCGCCAGCAGAAATGGTGGACGCCCAATTGTTGTCAAAGATGAGACGGTTTAATGTGCAGGAATACGGAATAATCTCAAAGAAATGTTGTAAAATGGGCAACAGCGAGATCGACGACAGCGATACTTGCCGTAGATTCCTCTTTGATGGATATCGTGCCTCAACGAATTAGTTAATTTCTATGGAGATGAATGGGTAATATCATGTACAGGTGATGTAATGTATTTTTGGATGACATAGCGTATATTTGGCAATTTTTGGTATATTTGAGTGTTGTCCAACATGTATAAAGATAATTGACCTAAGAACGATTGTTGATGCCATCTCCTCTGCGAAGGTACTAAGAAGAATAAATATTTTATGTACGTATACTAATTTTTCGCTATTAAATAGATGGAGATTCATTTTGATTAGTCGTCATTTCTAGCAGACAGTGTGGTCACGCTACTACCACTGACTTCTCTTAAAGCCGTATCTTACTCGATCAAAAAAAATGTCACCAAACTTCGAGATCGTCGATAAACTTACCAATTCTTTTACAAGTTGGGAAATGTGTTGTAGATACCGTAAGAATTAGTTAATGAGCGACTTTGGATTTGATCAATACTGTTGGTTTGTAGAGTATATTGATGGAGTCCAGTCCTAGAGTCAGCCTTTCTACTCATCCTGTGATTCTATCGCAGTAATCTTTTCAGTTTGCACATAGGAACTCATAAGAAAATAAATAATACTTTTCAGTTATATGGAAAGATAGGTCAAATCAAAGCAGTAAATTGAAAAAAAAAGAGTATAAGGCGATAAGATTGAAGTGTTCTCCCGCGAACATATAATTTCAAGGAATTTTAAATTTCAAATTCTTATAATGTGGTTTCTCAAAATAATGTAGTTGTGAACATTTGGAGTGTTGTTACTCCAAGGATTTTATGTAATCATATCTACAAATTAACCTATACTCGACAGATCTAAGTTTCTCAAGTTTGTGCTCGAAGGATGGTATGATGTGGAGCATAAGGAAATACTTTCTTCCAGCGAAGGAGTAAAAAATAAGGAAAAATAATGCGAGTAACATTAGCGAGAACAGCGTACCTAATGATTTTGAAATTCTAATGAAAGAACGAATAAGTGCGAACGCTAGCTAATTTGAGAAATATCACTCGGCAGACTGAATGAATAGCAGCCAGCCGTAAAATTTCAGATCGAAAAGTGACGGTACCCCGTGTATTGACATCATTTGAAATCTTCCTTGTTGCTGGGTTTGTGATGAATTTCCCCAAGAATATGAAGATGACAATGCGGAAAATCATTCAATTATAATTCGTAAAATAACTACATCTTGCTGCAAATACTCTCATTTTATCTAAATTATAGGTCAATCGACATGAAACTTTATGTTAAA